TCAGCTCAAACTTTCTACACAGCATAAGTACATCAATATGTATCAGAAAATGTAATAAAAATTTTGGGGATTTCAAAGCCATTTTTTGAAAAAAACCATGGGCTACAGCCTTGGGTAATTTTCAAAAATCGGCCAATTCTAAAAAATGGCCGTAACTTGAAAAATTGAAGTCAGAATCAGCTCAAACTTTCTACACAGCATAAGTACATCAATATGTATCAGAAAATGTAATAAAAATTTTGGGGATTTCGGAGCCATTTTTTGAAAAAACCATGGGCTACAGCCTTGGGTAATTTTCAAAAATCGGCTAATTCTAAAAAATGTCCGTATAACTTGAAAAATTGAAGTCGGAATCAGCTCAAACTTTCTACACAGTATAAGGACAATAATAAGTTGATTACTTATTGAAGGAATCATTAAGATGTGTCTTAATAGAGAAAGAAAGAGCTGCTGGCAGTTTAGATGTCTTCTCTCCTGATGTAGTACTGCCTGACTTGCTGTCTACTGCAGCTTTGAATGAGTGAGAGTGGTGGCCATTAGCTGGTCTACTGGAGGCAGCTTGACAGTAGTTCCACAGTCCAATACTTGCTCTCCATTGAGAGACATCAATCATCTTGTAATTATTAGTAAAGTATAATTAAAATGAACTATAATATACTTACCTCTATCGCTGTTAATGATCAACTGTTGTAAGATAAAGAAATGAAAAGATACAGTCAATTCAGTAAAAGCACTTCAAGCTGCAGTTGCAAAAAGGTGTGGCTATGCATGCTTAGCCACACCTTCTAGAGTAGCTCTAATAATTTAATTATTCAAATATTAACAATAGTTTTTAGGTTCAATTATTATTGTTTTTGTTGTGTCTTTATTGTATTTTTATAGAATCTGAGAGTGTCTAACTGTTCAATGAAAATGTCTCAAGTATCACGTGATGATTGTTTGATCACATGACTTGTTATTAAATACCGCCAATAGAAGTGTTTCTGGCAACTTCGAAGTAAGAAATTACACCCACTGATGATTTCATAATAATAGCATTTAATTGATCAGGGCATATTAAACTAATCCCATGTGTGTGTATGTGTGTGTGTGTTATATTTTATATGTAGATATATACATTAGATTATATGCACATACCATATTTGCCTGATTAGAAGCCCAGCTTAAATAAACTCCCATCCTTAAAATATTCACACTATAGATGTGCATATTTTACCCAATTTAGGTAGCCTCAACTTTAGATTGCTCCAAAGAGCTCAACTCTTTGTAGCACAGTTTGGCGACCTAGGAGACATGGGTTCAATTCCTGCTTTTAGCAACTTCTTTCTTTTTACACAAATTTTTTTCCTTGTTAATGAATAAACGCCCAGGCTTCTAATCAGGCAAATACAGATAATTTTCTAGGACTAGGCATGAGTCTTTTTCCAAAATAAAACTGAACATGCTCAATGGCACGTACATGACCACAAATTTGCCAAAAATTTCCCCTTAAAATTATCAGCTATACAGTACATACCTTTATTCATGTACATGTACATGTATAACTAATATTGTATGTTATCATGCTCAATAACCACAAATTTGTCAGAATTCCCCCTTCAAAATTACCATCTATATTGTGCATACCATGTGTGTGTGTGTGTGTAACATTATGTGGATGTGTGTATAATGTGTATATCATTATATAGTTCTGGTGATGATACTGTGGCATTAGTTAAACATGATAAAACTGAACCTGATGTTACTATAGCAGCACCAGACTGGTGAGTATATACTATACATATACTGTACCTACCTTTTACTGTATTATTGGTCTACCTCTTTCTTCCTAATATCTCTCTCTCTCTTTATTTATTTGTAGGACTCATTTACTGGGAGAAGTAAGGCTGATATTTGCATTATAAACACACGCACACTAGCCCATTTTATTTGTTTTTTAAATTTATTTTGTGTATTTATTTATTTATTTGTGTTTTATTAAAAGAAGAAGTAAGTGAAATTGAAATAATTATCAGAGAATTCATTATCATACACCTCCCTCCCTCCCTCTCCCTCCTCCCCCTCCCCCTCCCTCCTCCCCCTCCCCCTCCCTCCCTCTCTCCCTCCCTATCCTCCAGTGCATGAGTTGGAGGAGTTACAGGATAAACACAGTACAAGACCTGATGTGTTTGATGATGTTGAAGAAGAACACAACATTGACATACTAACTGCTGAAATATCACAAGTAATGATTAGTTAATATCACAAGTAATAATTAGTTATACATGTACATGTACGTCATAGTTCTGCCTATGGTAGCTAACCACCTCAACAAATGAACCAACCAGTTCATCACTTAGACCAACCATTCAATTTATATTAATAGCCATACATAAAGCATGATATTGTTCATAAATTTAAAAGGAAAAATATTAGTCTCCAAACACCTCTAATTTCTTTTAGGCAGAACCCTAGCTGGTACATGTACTTTAATGCAAAGCTAAATTTAGCCATTTTCTACATACTATAGTCATTATAATTATTATAATTATTTTCTCTCTCTCTCTTCTCTCAGATGTTCAGTAGGGCTAAGCAAGGATTATTAGTAATCAACAGACAAGCTAAGAATGGATCAGATCAGGAAAAGAAAGTTGCTAAGAATGTCGTATCATCGCTAGCAATCACACTACAAGATCTATCAGTGGATTTTAGAAAAGCACAGTCATCTTATTTAAAAAGTGAGAGAAATAAAGAGGGAGAGTTTTAGATGGTCATAACTTGAAAATTTGAGCTTGGAATTAGCTCAAACTTTCTACATAGCATAAGGACATCAATATATATCAGAAAATGTAATAAAAATTTGCGGTGATTTTGGAGCCATTTTTTGGAAAAAACCATGGGCTATAGCCTTGGGTATTTTTTGAAATTTGACCATTTTTAAAAACCGGCCATAACTCAAAAATTTGAGCTCGGAATCAGCTCAAACTTTTTACACAGCATAAGGACATCAATGTGTATCAAAAAATTTAATAAAAATTGGGGGTGATTTCGGAGCCATTTTTTGGGAAAAACCATGGGCTATAGTACAGGGAAATTTTTAAAAATTGGAAATTTAAAAAAATAGCCATAACTTTTAAAATTTGAGCTCAGAATTGGCTCAAACTTTCTACACAGCATAAGGATATCAATATGTATCAGAAAATGTAATAAAAATTTGAGGTGATTTTGGAGCCATTTTTTGAAAAAAACCATGGGCTATAGCCTTGGGTATTTTCCAAAAATTGACTGCTTTTAAAAAATGGCCATAACTTGAAAAATTGAGGTCAGAATCAGCTCAAACTTTTTACACAGCATAAGGACATCAATATGTATCAGAAAATGTAATAAAAATTTGGAGTGATTTCGGAGCCTTTTTTTGGAAAAACCCATGGGCTATAGCCTTGGGTACTTTTCAAAATTTTCCGTTTTTAAAAAATGGCCGTAACTTGAAAAATTGAAAAAAATTGTAATAAAAAAGAGCCAATTTTTACTTTGTTGCCATTAATTAATTAATATTATTATTTATATTATTATTATTATTATTATTATTATTATTATTATTATTATTATTAATAGGGATGAAAGGACGTGAGGAGAGGGTTATTGCTGGTGAGTTAAGGCCAACAATTGATACTAATGGAAGAGGAGGAGGAGGAGGAATGCAGTTTGATGATGAAGAAGAAATTGAAGTACTAGTAGATAAAGGTACAATAAGAGCTAATACTAATGTATACTAATGGTACATGTACATCACTACCTGACCACATCTCTTAATTAGCTACACAGCATATGCATACATGTACTGCATGTACACATTATGAAACTCCTTTCCCTCCCTCCCTCCCTCCCTCCCTCCCCCCCTCTCTCTCTCTCTCTCTTTCTTTAGGTTTCACGTCAGGTCAGTTGTCACAGTTGGAGGATAATTCTGAACTGATAGAACAAAGAGAGAGAGAAATAGTATCAGTAGTTAGATCAATATCTGAAATAAATGAAATGTATAAAGACCTGGCAACAATGGTAGTGGAACAGGTTAGGATAAGTTGAAGCTTTAATTTTATTGTTGTGTGTTATTGTTATCGTTGTTGTTGTTATTGTTATCATTATTATTATTATTATTATTATTATTAATCTATTCTTGTTATTAATCACAGGGTACAATATTGGATAGGATCGATTACAATGTTGAGAGGACACTTCATAAAGTCACTGAAGGTGTCAAACAACTGGAGAAGGTAACAAATAATCATATTATCTAAATGCATGTACATGTAGCTCAAAGTTAGAAAGTTGTGTGAATGAAAAGATGTAGAATATAGTCAATTTTGATCATATTAGTCATGCCATAATTTTCTCTGTAATTAAACTTTTGTGTTTCCACTAAATTCATGAATATTTTCATTCTTTTTTTTTGAAAGAAAGTTTTAATTTCACTGCATACAGTGTTCTTTTTTGTTTTTCCTTGCCTCTCACACACTTCATGCTAAACCCTCTCTCTCTTTTCTTCTTAGGCTGAGAAGCATCAGAAGAGATCAATCAAGTTAATTATTATAATAGTATTAATAGTTATAATAGTAGTGGCTGTTGTTACTTTTATTATTGTTAAAGTTGTAAGAAAAGGAAAAGGAATAATTTAATAATACATTGGACAATGACAATGCTAACATAACTTGTTAATTAATGTGCATTCTGTATGTGTTTAATATTATTTTTAAAATATAGCTTGAAAGCAAAAATGATGTAGCAATTACATATTCAAACTAAAGTACCAAAAATTGCATAAAGGATGTGTGAAACCAAAATAAAAAGTAGAGGAGACTGGGGAAGAAGATAAAAAGCCAAAAATAAGAAAATGAAACAAAAGAATAGTCAAATGAGACCAACACGTTTGTCTGGTATTACTTACAACTAGTGCACCTA